GCAGCCTGCTGTCTCCAGCCCCATCTCTCCTGCCTGTCTTCCGCCTCCCCCACCTCTCCATCCCACGCCTGGCCCAGGTCAGGCCTCGTCCTCTCCCGGACCCCTCCCTATCTCTGGGCCTATGGTCTTGGCCCCCTCACTTCCCCCTATACAGGCCCTGGAAGCCCTTTCCCCATCTGGAGCAGGTTCTGCCTTCTCTTGCTCACAGCCCTTGCAGCATCACTTAGGAATAAAGTTCGAGCAGGTGTCAAAGCCCTTCATGGGCTCTCACCCACCTCTCCACCTTATTTTCCAGCACTCTGTAGCCTCGAAGTCTCCCCTGGCTCCAAATCGTTTTTCCCCCTTTTACCCCAATAACAGGGTATTGTCTGTGGCTGTCCACACACACGGATCTCTCCCACCACTGGTCTTCACATCTAGTGTCCCCTTTGCCTGTGACAAGCTTCCCTGGCCCCTGCTCACTGTAACCAACCTTACTCATATTTCAAGACCAAAGCTTCCCTCAGCTGCCACTTATCTGGGAAGAATTCCCTGACCTGCAGGGGTTGGGTTCCTGTGGAGCCCAGCTCCTGTCACTGCCTGCCTTTAAATAGGTCGGACCCTGCCAGCCCTTGCTCAAAATCCCCAAGGAAGCCTGTGGGTGGGGAGACTGCTCTGCGTCTTGACCTGGGTTGTGGTTTCGTGAGCATGCATAAGCAACACTTCCTCTAGCTGATATTTAAGATTTGTCCAATTAGCTGTATGTAAGTTCCACCTCAACTAAAATGTAATTAAGCAAAACAAGCAAGGGAACCCTGCAAAGCTGCCATCAGCCTCGGAGAAAACAGGAGCTCCTCAGCCCGGCATTGGAGGTCTTGTTTGTTTTCCTTTCTCTCTTTCTTCTTTCTTTCTCTTTCTTTCTTTTCTTTTTCTCCTTCCTTCCTTCCTTCCTTCCTTCCTTCCTTTTACTTTCTTTGAGGGTTTTTTTTTTTTTTTTTTTTTTTTTTTGTTACAGGGCACATGGGCTCACCAGAAAAA